CGAATGTTCAATAGTAAAATCAAAACATTCAAGCTACCAGAATCAGGACGATCGGAGCGGCTCGTCGAGAAACCGAGGTGTTATTTTTCGTCTGATTACCACCGACAAACCGACATGAATGATCATACAAACTACAAAGAAATTTCTGATCAAAGTACACAACTGACATTTTCCGCCGTGTTCGCGGAAAATACTTATCCTAGCCACGAACACGCTTACAAAATTTATGAGTATAATTAAAGAGCCTAAATTTATTATCTATTTCGGACAAATTATTTTTATCTAGATAAAACATTTCTATGGTTTTGACAGATGGGATCGTTGCACATTTGAATCGGCCGTTATGGATTCTCGATCAAGAGTTAAGTTTAAGTTTCATGTCGGTTTGTCGGTGTGATTACACCGGCCATTCCATCGTCCATCAGTGTAGAAAGCTGCAACAACGATCTTGGCAAATTCATTCCGGTGTACTTCCGGTATGTCGTTCATGAATAAAAAAAAATAAAGAAATCCATGCTTTTAACTGTGATGCTTTCTAAAATTGTGAAAGGAAGAGAAACGGATGGAACCGTACCCTCCACCACTATTGCTACTACACTGTGAGTTGTGTTTCGGATAGAACAGATTAAAATCGTCTAGTTTCGCTAGCCTAGAGCAAAGAAGAATGGTTTAAGTTGACTTTTATTTAGCTGTAGCTGAGGCCTGGTGGCTTTCGATTACTTTTGCTCCACCGGGCACATGGTCATTCCGGTGGTACTGATAATGACGGTAGTTGAAGACACCGGCGACAACGACTGGGTAGTGGTGAGAAGCAACATCGGCGAACACAACCGCACCGGAATCGCTGACACCGCTGAAGCAACCAGCCTTTAGCAGCAGGAACACGTTCGGTGCATTCTCAAGCGTCTCCATCTTCAAATCCGCCGATATAAGCAACTTAAACGCTTCGTTCCGCCTTTTCTCGTCCAGTTGGTCATCTCAAACCGTGCATCAATGTTGATCGCGGCAGCCAATTCAGATCCCCGGAAGAGCTTTTTTCGTCCCCGAACGATGACCAGCTTCACGCTTTCGTCAATTTAGTTACCAGCAATCTTGCCACCCAATTTTTTTAGAACCGAACCGCACAAACGGCACCGATAACGTGAGCCCGTTCCAGCGATTGCAACATCAGCAGCAGCTTTCCCTAGCGGCTGTAGATTTCGAATGCCATCTGATGCGGTCCGATGTTGCTTTATCGAGCGGTCGGAGGAACTGGGGATTTTCTGGTTTGGTTCGGATTTCACTGCTTGTTGTGTTGTTTCTACAAAACAAAACATTTGAACCATCAAATTAACCGGGATTTTTCACAAACAAATAATGTCAGTCCGATGACTGGCACTCTCGGCACTACCAGCACAGCTGTGACACCCCGGGACGGGACTTCTAGATAGAGCTGGAATTAGGGCGTAACAGCTTTTGTAAACAATGACTTCTCTCGATGATTTCTCGAAAGACACGACTCTCCCTGGCAAATAAACATTACCATCGAATAGGGGGGATCCATCGGGAGATGGATATGTTGGTTTGTGTAGGCGTGCCTTGAGTTGCTAGAAATCAACGAGAGAAGTCATTGTTTACAAAAGCTGTAACGCCCTAATTCCAGCTCTATCTAGACTTGACAATCGAGCTTCTCACTCTTCTTAATGTTTGTGAAGAGTGCCCTTCGGATAGTTGTGCGTGGTGCTTGACGGAGTTGACCAATGATGCCAGGAATGTAAAATATTATTCTATTTTAATTTGGATTTTATTCGGAGTTTCTACCGAAGTTCAGCAAGCTGTACATCATTTTTGCTCAACACAATAAAAACAACCGTAAACAATCAACAATATCCATCGCTTAAAACACGCAGTGCACTCAATTTTTCAGCTTTCCTTTCGCAAATATAAACAATTAACAACGCCATTGACGTCAACATTGAGTCCGGCATCACTGCCAGCCAGATTGATGCGATCCCTCTGTTCTTTTTATTCCACGATTGCCTCTGTCAAATGGGCCAATCAGAAACTGGCTCGGATTTGACAGCAAATTGGCTCGAAATCGCTACCCGATTGTCAAGTCCCGTCCTATAGATCAGTGCACGGTCCCTAACCTCACTTTTTGCCCCCTATCATTTTGCTTCTGAGTAAAAGAGATAGCAACGAATGGGAGCCAAAACAAACCACCCAAAACTGTCAAAACTTACGGGTGAGAGAAGAGTGCGGCAAATCTTCGTGAACTGATCAATCAGGTGACATTGCAAAAATTCATGTGTGGGACACATGAAAATAATCATTGAATTTTGCTTAGTGTAGGAGTTTTTGATCTAGATAAAAATAATTTGTCCATCATAGATCAGACACGAACCCATTCATAGCTTTTGGATGCGGGTTCATGGCTTAGCTAAATATTACCCGCGAACACAGAGCCAGATGTCAGTAGTGTGCTTTGGTCAGAAATTTTATTGGTTTTGCTATGGTCATCCATGTCGGTTTGTCGGTGCTGTAAGTGCTTTGGACAGCATAGAAAAAATATTCCGTGTATGCCTGAAGATCTGTGAACATCTCAGAAGTTCCGTAAACTTGTCGGAAGTTGTGTGAACCTTTGTGACGCTACTTAAACTTAGCGGAAGCTCTGTGAACTTGTCTAATGTCTGTAGTTTACAAATTCTGGGAAACTCTGTGAAGTTTTGGGAAGTACCGTGTGTTACTCGGAAGTTCCCTGCACTTCTCGAAGGCTCCTTGAGTTTTTCATAAGTTCCATGAGCTTCCCAGAAGATCCGTAAGCTTGTCGGAAGATGGGTGATGTTCTTGAATTTTTCGTGAACTGCTTGGAAGTTTCGTAAACTTCAGATAAATTTAATGAATTTCCGACGAGTTCAGAGAACTTTCGAAAAGTTCAAGGAACATCTGAGAAGTACACAGAATGTTCGAGATGGTCATGGTGGTTGTAAGTATCGTAGAAAGAACGTTTTGTAGTGAAAGCCGCCATTTTGAACATTTTTCAAGATCCAAAATGGTCGAATTTTAGCCAAAATGTGAATCAATGCCCATAACAAAACATGCAGAGAAGCTCTATGGAGGTCATTTAGAAATGGAGTGCTATGAACTTCTTCAGGAAGACCTATGGGAAGCCATAAGTTCTATGGACGATTCTAAGAAGTCCTAAGAAAATTTAAGACTTTCACCAGAAGTCCTAACATTCCCGAGAAGTCTTATGGATCTGTGGACATTCCCTATGCACTTCTCCGAAAAGTCTTATGATCGTTCCCTTCAAGTCTTATGGAGGTTCTTGTAGTAGTCCTGTGCTCTTCCTTCCTATGAACGTTCCCTAGCCGTCATTTGAGAAGCCCTCCAGGAGTTCTGGGGACGTCATTTGACAGTTCTGGTGAGTTCCGCTCAATAGTCCCGTAAACTGGTAACCTAGGTGTCTTGGTAACAGCCCAGAAAAGAGCTAGGGATTTCCCCCAACATTCGAGCGGTCAGACCCAACAAGCCCTGTAAGCATCTCCAGAAGTCCTGAAAGTGTTCGTGTTCGTCTGGAATTGTTTCAATGCAGTACAGTAAAAGATTGTATTGACTAGCAAAAGCAACAGCAAATGCCAAATTCAAATTTTGGTCAACAAACAACTGAGTCAATAATACCGAAACCGAACAAGAGTAATTAAATGCTGGGACTAACTCTCACCTAATGCCACTACTGGGCAAGTACTCATAATGGATATATTTAGCAGCAGCTATCGTTGACGACGCAGAGAACCACGAACAAAGCGCGATAACCGTGTTAAACCATGTCGTCGTCAGCTGCTGCCATCCCAAACCATCCACGCACACAGTCAACCCATCACAGCTCAGTCGCAGTACATATCTAATCTAAAACCACATGGTTTACTAACAGCCGTACTGCTGAGTAAGTGGTTTCTTTGTTCCGCCCGATTTGCCTGCCTGTCTGCGAGCATGAGGTGGCAGAAATTTCCATTCAACTATCGAGTGTATTTACTCATCGGAGACGGCAGTCGAACCAGAGCACAAACTGATAATGCGACTCGTCGTCGTCGCGCGGGTGGTTTTGCACGGAAAACATGGTTGATGATGGTTGACGGCAGCGAATGTGGTTTGCGCCGTGCGCAAAACCATTTTGTAAACACTGTGAATGTGTGCTGCTGCTGATGGTTTTAGCTGCAGTGACGTGATTCGAATCGATGCGCGCGAAGGGAAGTGTGATTAATATGGGTGGGAAACTGGTTCCACCGATTCAGCTATAGTTGCACGTTCTAAAAACTAGAATCAAGTGATCATGTGATATTCCTATGCGAAACCGTTTTGGTTAGTCGAACGGTAGGTCTCGAAGAGTTGTCGCGCCAGGTCGATGCCCTTGAATCAGACAGTGTGTGCTGATTCCATTACCGGTGCTCGATTCAATTGGATGACAATGGTCATCATGGTTTGCGCTCTTGAGAGACATGAGTATACACTAATGGGATTATAATGCTGGTCGGTGCCTCAGAAGGAATGGACCTGCTTCCGGCCGAACTTTCGACGCTTGGCTGCCTCTGGTTCCGATGTAAACAAACGGTGGAAACGAAATTCATCGATAATAACAACAACGAAAACCGGTTCCTTTCGCGCTCCTCTCTCTCTGGTGACGCTCCCCAGTCAGCAGCCGAAAAGGCCTTGAGAGGGGTGTTCTTTGATATTGGAGACCGGGCAGGCGGCAAAAAAAAGGCATGATGTGGAGCGAGTTGAAGAATCAAAAACAGGCTCCGATCGGTTTAAGAACGCCTGTGGGAAGCAGGTTAAGCCAAAATGACGCATTAGAATTGGTACTTATTTGTTGAGTTTGGCCTTTTTGTGTGTGTTGGATAACAGAGATTCAAGGTCGCTGATTAAGCTGATTTCTCCTGGACAGGTCAATAGCCTAGCGCACTGCCAGGGACATGTAGGGAACTAACACTAACTAGCTAAGTAGCAGTAATAGTACTTACATTTAGCTCGTTCCTTTCAGCAGCAATATGATGATGATGATGCAAAATGGAAATTTTTCTTCACTTTTGTCAGTCAATTTCGAACGACGATGTCACACAAAAAACCGAGCCGTGTGTGGGAATCAAAACAAAGAGAAAATTTTCAGACGATGACACACTCCTACTCCTATCACAGAGTCCCAGATTGTTTTCTGCTTCAAACTTCCAGGAAAAAAGCACTGAGATTGAGTCGCGCACTATTTCTGCACTGCCCCCGCACGGAATCGATTTTGTACCAACTTCTGCACGATGATTATCACAATGTTGTGGGAAAGTCTTGCTTCTGCAGGGAATAATTCTTTGTCACCAGTCGCTTGCTACCTATAGTAAATACATGCAAATCAAAGTTACTGTTGTGCTACTGTATTCCTCGAAATAATTACAACCCAAGTGGATGGAATCAACGCGTTACGCGACTAACCTGCTGCTGGGCGAGGGAGATTGTTTTTATTCCGTTCACTTCGCTCTCTCGCTTTGCTCTCGCTGCTTCTGACGTTTTGCTTTTGACGCTGTTTTCTTTTCCTGTGAGATTTTGTTTTTTTTTCTTCAAACTAATCGTTTGAGGGGTAGGACTCTTTCGCTATAAGGAACTAAGAACAAAATTTGTTAAAATAAATGACAAACTCTCAAATATAGGGGAAATGGATGTAATGTCGGTCTAAATGCCCCTAATTATGGCCCATTCGAAAATTCAGCAATCGACTAAATGCTCAATAGTGACCAAAAATATCCATTAGTACCGTCCCAATGACGCGATCATCTAGATAAAATTGATAAATAGATAAATAGCAGATTTTTAGCGATGGGCCCAATCTTAGAGCCATTTCCCCTATTACAAAACGAATAAAGATTAAATTTTATGCATTTTATGATTAATCCAAGGGGGTGTCAACTTGCGTATTTTCGATTCATCTAGCCGACTTGAAAAGGTGTATGTTATATTTTTGTTTTTAAGTATTTTTAAGTTTTGTGTATTTTTGTATTAAATTCATTATGAAATGTATTTTTTCGTGTACAAAGTATTTTCGATGTATTTTTATTTGGGTATTTTAGTTTCAGCGTGAATGGATTTACGTATTTTTTGTATATTTTTCGAAGTGTGTATTTACAATTCAGCTGATTTGTGAAGTTGATCGCCACTCGGGTTAATCGAAATTTATATATTGTTACGATCAGTGTTGGCAAAATCAGAAATCAATTGATATTTTTCCGCTCTCATGCGCTCGCAATATCACGCGTGATATTGGAACAAAATATCATGCTTGATATTGATTTTACAAGCTCCTTTGATATTGCGAGACTATTCACAACGTGCAAAAATCAAGCTGAGAGTTGATTCGACACAAAAATGATTCCATTGCACATCGTTTTTTAGAAAGAGAAAGCATAGTTTGCTATCTCTTTTTAGTCTTTACCGATGGCAGATGCGAAGGGACTGCTTCAAGCCGTTATGGAAGTTTCGGTTGCATTCGGGTGTAAGCAAAAATCATTAAACTCAATCTCACCACAGTTTGGTGAGATTTGTTAGCTTGATATTCCGAGCTGCAATATCACAGCTTGCAAAATCAACCGCAGTAGTTTGCTTGTTGATTTTTGTCTACGAAAATCAATTGTGATCTTGGGCGTTGGTGAGATTTGATTTTTTGATATTTTCCCAACACTGATTACGATTAAAATTTTCGTCAAAATTAGACTTAATCCGAGACTAAATCTGATTGTCGGAGTGGAATTCGGTCAGTGTATACTAAAATTTCGTTTTTCAGTTCGTATTTATTTTGTTGTTGCAATCATTTCGCGTTGGTGTCGTGCGTGTACTGTTTTATATAAATACAACTACAATTATAACTGTTAGCCTATTTCTCATCCTATCGCTTCTGTAGACGCGTTCTGCCTCGGGACGTTGCCGCCGAGCGATCGATGTCCCAAAAACTGCTTCTCAGAGCACTGTCCGACGAATCATTTGGTCAAGGTCGGAGTATCTGCTATCAGAAGCTGCTCAAGTACTTTGTACTCATAGCATTAAAACACGCATCAACATTTCATTTATAAAATGGAAATAATTAATCATTTTGTTCGACCATTTCCACAGAGATGGCGCTGTTCCGCTGGTAGGAAGTGATAAAAATCCTTATATAGAAATTGAGAGAAGTGGGAATAATTCGCTTTCGGTGTATATTCAGGTCAAAAAAAGTGAACGACGACCTAAATAAATTAATCAGGGACTTTGTCGTTCATTTCTTTCCCGGAAATTATTGTTAAACTAGCTACAATTAATTAAAAATGATTTTTCCCGAGATTTCTCCCCATAAAGTTTTACCTGTTTTCCTACCAGTTCTCAGAGAGCCAAAAAATTCAAATTTGAGAGAGAGAATTTGCTCTCACGACCTCAATCTCTCAACATGCCATGTATTTTGTTGACGCTCGATTTGTGATTTACCTTTCATAGATTATAAAATAGAGTATCTGTCACTACAAAACATGTCAGATGCATTTACTTTAACATTTGAAATCCCTACCCATTGAATCTACCCAAAAATGGGTAAACTATGTTGGGAGTGATAAGTTGACAAATTGACAACATCGACATGAATCCGATCGGCTTTGTTCATTTATCAACTTGTCACTTCCAACCTCGCTTCCAACATAGTTTACCCATTTTTGGCTAGGTTAAGTTTTGACCAATCAGGGTGGATCCTACCCAAATTTAGGTAGTTTTGAAATAGCGTGTATACTATGGCAGATAAATCATTTTTATATTAAGGCTGTGAACCATTTGCCGAGTTAAATTTAACTCGTGGTTAAAAGTGACATTTCGAAAGTTATTTTCTATGTTCGAAAATCCCCGTGCTGTCGATCGACCGGTTTTCGAGCCACGGTTGTCAAAATTTAACTTCTTGTCTGTCAGAAATAACCATGCTCGGATAGCAGGGTTAATCGATAACTTTTCATCTGTCAAATTTTAACCAAAAGTTAAAATAATCCACCAAATGGTTCAGAGCCTAAGTTTGCATTCTCTCCTTTTATACCGACCTTTGCGTCGTCACGGAGAGTAGCAATAGCGTAACTTTTATACTATTTAGCTTTCAATAATTTTTGCGTGAACACTTACAAAATATTCAATCTATATTCAGAAAAAAAATCGAGGGGGATGACACATTCTTTCTTCTTCTTATTCGCATTTCAAGCTTATTGCATATCGCACATTAGCTTATTGCGTGCTCTCAACTTAGTGTTCTAGATGCACTTCCACAGTTATTAATTGAGAGCTTTCGATGCCTGTACCATTTTTGCATTGATATGATTGTGTGGCAAGTCCAATCATACTTCTATGCCCAGGGAAGTCAAGAAATTTTCCAACCCGAAAAATTCCTAGACCGAACCGGGAACCGAACCCAGCCACCTCCAGCATGGTCTTGCTTTGTAGCTGCGCCTTTACCGACTGAGCTAAGGGAGGCCCATCTAAATCTCAATTCTAGATGCTCAACAAATCTCACACTATCGAATCAATCTTCGAAAAATCTTCAATCATTTCTCGCATCTACTTGCATCGCACATCATCTTTTTGCAGGAAATCTTCAGAATCGTCATCAATCTTCTTTCTATCTACTCAGTGTGCGTGCAGCTAACCACAGCAAAACACAATTTTTCCTGCATCGTAGATAGAGTCGCCCCCCTCGAAAAAAATCTAAACTGACTAGTTTAAAAGTCTCACTAAATCGTTATTCCCTAATAAAAATTGTATGGTTAATTTGCTTAACGACGTGTTCTGGGTATCATCCAAAAAATTTGAAGAATATTTCAATCATTTGGGTTATCGTTCGTTTAAGGTATTTTTTTATTAGGGCTTGCATGACCCATAGCAAGTAATAAATAGAGATAATATTATCTGTTTCTTTGGTAACAAAACACGCCAAAAACGACGCAGAAATCGTCGCCATAGGAATTTGTATGGCAATGCGAGTGGCGATGATTTCTGCGTCGTTTTCGGCGTGTTTTGTTACCAAAGAAACAGATAATAAGGCTGTCCACGAGACAGTTGCGATCAGCTGACTTTTTTGTTTACCAAGAACTTTTGACAGATCACAGTAGAACTGACAGTTCACTCTCATATGAAAAGAAATGCAGAAATGTTTGTGTTTAAATTCAGCACCATTAACACCAGATCACTCACACACTCTTGATTTCTAGCTGTCAGTTCCACTGCGAAACGTCTCTTGGATCACCTTATACGAGTTTAGTTTAGTAGCTTCGATTATACAACGACTACTAACGATTTTAAATTGACTCACAATGGACAAGTCTACACACAGAGTTTAGATTACCGAAGTCGGTAAAATTTTACTGGGTTTTTAAACAGTTGAGTTTTCAGTAATCAACCCAGTAGTTTTTGGTTTTGCTGAAAATTCCGTAAATCGCAAAATCTCTGAACTGTCAAAAATTACCGTGTTAGTCAGTACTAGCACAAACGAAGTGACAGACGGAGCGGCTTGAAAACTTTGGTGACGCACCTGCTATTGCAATTTTTCAGTGTACCACATGGCAGCACCACTACTACTGGATTGTACCACATGGCAACACTAAATGTACTTGAATGTTTTGGGCAAGGTGACTACATATAGGTGTTCTAATGTGTCAAATTCATGATTCAGCCATGTTGGATTTTTGTATGGGACAGCGACCAGCGAGGGGGCCTCATAGCCTAGTCAGTAAAGGCACGGTATTACCAAGCTGGAGGCGGCGGGTTCGATTCCCGGTCCGGTCGAGGGAATCTTTCGGTTTGGAAATTTTCTCGACTTCCCTGGGCATAGAGTATCATTGTGCTTGCCACACAATATACAAATTCATCACGCAGAAAAATTTATCGTTGAACCAAAAATATTTGAGGTAAATTTAAACGTAAACTCAGTTTGTTCTGGCCACAAAAATAAACAAGGTTTATTTCAAACGTATTCCATGTTTGAAGTCATGTGATATTAATGTTTAAAACAACAATAATGTTACGTTTATTTTAAAAATATTCGTGTTGAAAATAAACGTGAATATTTTTGTTTGGTTTGACAAGTATGTGAACAAAAATAAATATGTTTATTTTAAACATGCTTCTTATATGTTTGAAAGAAACATACTTAATTTTAAATTATATTAGCAGGATAAAGCAAAAAAATGGATTGCAAAGAGATGAAAAAACGATCTGCATCTAAGCTTCTGCTCTTTTTCGGATGCGATTATGGGTAAGCTGTGGATGTTGGGTCCTGGTCCGAGATGCGGGGACCCGTCGGGGTGAGTGTCCGGAAGTTTCAGTTCAGTAAAACCAGTGAAACTTTGTGATATCAGCGTCGTTTTGTCGTTTCTAACGCTGGTCCTCATGCCGGCCTCTTTCTACGTTCGGTGTTCAAGGAGGGGGGACTGGAGGATCCGGAATAGATTCAAAATCTATTTAGGATTTTCGTTTTTCTTTCAACGTCAGTTGTGGAGGAGGATGATAAAGGATCGGCATCAGAAACGAGAGAGCGACGTCGATACCGCTGGGGTTCCTCCGGTTTTATCGAGCCGGAACTTTATTAAGACACTTACCTAGGTGGGTTTCCGAATCCATGATTTCGGTTTTGTTGCGGGCCGTTTTCAGTTGATTGGGGCATTTTTTTCCGAATGAAAACAAGAAGGAAAAAAAAGGCAGGGCACGCTAAAAATCGTTTACCCAAATTCTATATTGTTGAAATAAACATGCTTTTGACTTTAATTCAAACATATATATTTTTGTTGCAAACATGTTTTTAATTTATTTTGAATTAATCATATGTTTATAGAATGAACATTTATATTTTTGATTTAAATGAACAAAATTCGGTTCCGTGATGCATTGGTATTGGTATCGAAAGCTCTCAATTAATAACTGTGGAAGTGCATTTAGAACACTAAGTTGAGAGCACGCAATAAGCTAATATGCGCTAAGCAATAAGCTTGAAATGCGAATAAGAAGAAGAAGCGACCGAGTTTGTTTACAATTTGCTCTAAAACCGCACTTTTCCCCCCCGCGACCTCCTCGCCTATATAGTGACAAAGCTGTATCACCATTTATATACCCACCATGGTTTTGGGTTTATCTCTTTCACTCTACTCTAAACTGAAATGCATAAAAAAATGACAAAATGATACACTCTTTGCACACTGTCAAAGATCATATTGCACACAAAATCAACTATGTTCAAATCAAAACAAAAATACTAGCCCATCTGGTGGCTTCTAAGAAAATTCTATTACAGCGAACCACATTATTTTAATTGATTTCTTCGCCAGTTAGTCGTCTGTCACTTCGTTTGTGGTACTAGTATTGCTGTCTTATTCAGTAATTTATTTTAATGTTTTTAATGAACAAGTCAGTAAATTCATGAACAATGTTTTTATTTCATTATTTGTTTGGGTTCATTCGATTAAAACATTTCGAATTTATAGCGATTTGTATTTGGGGACGGAGTTTAGTGGCAGATTAGCAGTAATGCTGTTTTAACTAGTCCAGGTTGAGCGGTCAGAGTTTCCCGATGGTTTAGCCGGGTGGTGGCTCTTTTGATGTGCCGGATTGGGTGCCTAAGTCTGAAGCTCTATAACAGGAAATTTTAGTGAAATTTCTTTCTTCAAACTAACTTGAACATCTGAAAGTCAATGCAGGAGTGCAGAAACTGATAAATTTCGGGGTAGTTTATGCAATCCTGTGTTGACTTCCAGATGTTTCACTCATTTTCACAATGGTTTCTTGTTTTCACGAGAAGATTTCCGACGTCAAGTGTGAGGTTGAATCGAGGAGGATGACATAAGAAATTTGTTCACATTACAGCCTATATCACGTAATATAGGCTGTCTTGCAATATCACGTGATATACGCTGTAATGTGAACTGGGCATTACCAACAATCAATACGAAACTAACGATTTTAAATTGGCTCACTACTTGACTAGCCTATTGGTCCCAAGCAAACGATTAACGTGCCCCATTCTAGTCGAAATTCTCTAACTACGCAATGTTTGTTTTGATTTGCTATGAAAGTTTGACTGATAAAATGAGGGGTTATTGGTTTTTCCTATGTTTCGACGGGTGCATCGATTGGCTTGGGACCGAAGATAGTACCAGAACTGAGCCAAAAAGTTGAGTACGTTTCTTCGGGACCTTCTGGTCTTAGAGTTACCTCTATATGTTAACACTCCGAACACGATGCCTCCGATAAATTGTTTAACGGCAAACTTGCAATGTTTGAAAAAGCATAGCTCAACCAATTAGTTATTGATGAATTTCAAATCTATTTGCGCCACTTGAAACTCTCGTTGAAACTACAGACTTCAAAGATTTATTTGATATCAATAGATTTAAAATCTTTCGATAAATTGCTGAGCAATGATTTTTCATACATTGCCAATTTGCCGTTACACATTTTACCGGAGAAATCGCGTGTTTGGAGTGTCAATGAGTTAAGCCACTTTTCTTCAAAATGGGTAATTTTTTACTCATTAATGGGAACCTTCAAATTAGCGTGTGCTCAGTCAGCTGATTGATTTGAAAACGATAAGTTTTCATTGGTTTTGTTTTGATTCAGACGATTCTGCTTTTTCCCGAAGAGTCAGTAGGAGAAGGCGAGGATAAATAGGACCTCGTTTTCGGCGCGCTCATTTTTCCGAGAATTTTCTAGTCGCAGTTCTCTTCTCTACTTGAATTCAGTCCCTCGCCGACCTGCAAACCGAAACGTTTAGAAAGGCAAAGTTCGTTTTTCTTTGCAGTTTTTTTTTTCGCTGCGTTCGATAATCGGAAGGAAATCGGTGCTGTGTTCGTTCTATTTTGCTAGTTTTGAAGCCAAATTTGTCTAAAAGGGAAAAGGGAAGAATATAGCAAGTGAAAAATTATAATTATGCAGTGAGAAAAGAAAGAAGCAAACATAAAAAGGTTCGGCTTGAGTGACTCGGTTGACGACCTTGAATCTAACCTCCAAAATCCACGACGTAGCTCCAGTTCGATTGTCCGGTGTGTTTGTGATCGTCTATTGTTTAGCGCGTTCATCTTCAACATGTCCACCTCAGCGATATTCATTGCTTCCCGGGAGCCCGGTTCTCCGCGTACGGACGCCACACTTTCGGCGTGTAGTTCCATAGAGAGTCTCGTCACCGTGGACGAGTTGGAACCTGGGCCGGTTCGCGAATTACCCCGGCAAAGTGCTGATGTGTCCGTCGCGAGTGTTGGAGGTGACTCAGTGAACGACGTTGCCGTTAACCAGCAAGTGATGCGTTTACAAAAGTGCTCGGCTGCTGGTCTGTCGCCGGTGTCGGAGATAGCGTTCAACCTGAAGGATACCTCACTGGATACGCCCAAGACTGGGCGTGCGGTAGTTGGTGGTGGCCGCGAACGGTCCCTGGGGAAAGGTGAGCAGTTGACATTCTAAACTTCTTTCTGAATTCCTTTGTTCCATCCATCCATTGACGGCAATCGTATAGCCAACAAGGCAGCTTCCACACCTAGGTGGATATAATAAATTCTCAATGTGTGAATTACTTATTTCAAGTTAGTAATTAACGTTATGAAAGATTAGAGCTCTTCAGTGATGTCCCATTGACTTCACAATTGTAAGAACTTAACTGAAGTTCGCAGGAATGAAAAGAAATGCTGAGAATTTTAGTGAAGCTTCCTAAACAAACTGCGAGAACATAAGGAAAGTTAAAATCCTGAAAATATAGGGAAGTTACTGGAGGTTTTAAGAACCTCAAAGTGGTTGTATTAGCTACCGAAAAACTGCAGAAACTTTTAATAAGTTCCTAGAATATCAGCGAACTTCACCGGTGTCAAGAGAAGCTCAGAAATATAGAAAACTTGAGGAAAATTGTGGAAACTTTAAAAAAGTTCTATTTACATCAAAAAAGCTAGATCTAGAGAGCTTAAGGGCAGTTCCCGTAACTTTAGTTAGGAATTTGGAGCAGTTTAAAGATCTATAAAGATTGCTGAATGTGCTGAAATAAAATTCAAGAACCTTTAACATGTTCCGAGAATTTCACAGAAGTACAGAGACCTTCAGAGAATTTATGAAAACTTCGGTAATATGTCAGAACTTCACAGAAGTCCAGAGAGCTCCGGGGAAGTTTAAAGGTGTTTACGAGAAATCTATTTATTTCAGTGCAGCTTCATGGGAAGCTCCGAGAACATCAAGACAGCTCAAAGAAACAAACGGCTGTTCTATTAATTTCAAGAAAATTGCAGAAACCTTAAAACAGTTGCTAGAAACTCAGGGAACTTCCGGGATTTTTTTTTAAACTAGTTCGTTTGTTTGGAAGGCTCAAGCGCGTTAGCTTTACGGAGCCGATAGTTCATTGTTCTTTGTTTGTAACAAAATTCACTTAATTCTATGTCTAGTAGGAGTTGGGCTAGATACTCGCGGCTTATCCGAGGTTAGAGAGGTACATTGTCGAAGGATACGATCAGGGGGTGTTGTCTCATCAGAGCGTTGTTTCGGGAAAATTATATGAACATCCGGAAAATGGGAGAGTATTTTATGGGTGCTACCTATATCATAGAAATTTCAATAATATTTATTGGGAAAATTTAGCCAGTGTTATAGTGAGACCGAAGAGAAGCGAAGAGACGAGCTAAGCGATGGAATGAATGTAAGGAACAATATCAATAATTGGAATTCCGCCTCTTCGCTTCGCTCTCACTATAGAATCGGCCTAAGTTTATTAGAGAACGAAGTAACATTGATTGAAAAAAATGCGGGATCTTTTAGCAAGCACCGATATCTTCAAGAAATTCAAAAGATCTTCTAAGAAATTCAGATATTTCTAGATAGTTTCGTGATATTCAGCGAAGCTCCGAGTACTTCAAGGACGATCAAATAACTTCTGAGAAATTCCATTTAAGGAATTTTGCAGTGAGTAACAAGTAGTTGTTAGTGGAATTATGGGAGGACTGCTAACTCGGTATCGAGTTATAGAACCATAGTAAAAATGAATTTCATAGCTTCTGCGATAGTGATTTTCTATGGAATTGATGTTCTATAACTCGATAATTCTATTACTCGATGGTCCCGTCCAATATAGAGTATTAGGAAATTTGCCGGAACATTAATATTAAATAAATTTAGAGAACTTCAGGTATGTTTGGGGAAAATTAGTGATTTAAGGCAAAATTCCGTGAGCGTTTAGAAAGTTTATGAAACTTAAGGAAAATTGTGGAAACTTCAAGGCAATTGATTTAATTTCAGTAAAATTGCAGGTTATTATAAAAAATACTAAGAAATTCAGGTCAGTCTAAAGAACTTTAGGGAAATTCAGAAATCTTTTGGGAAGTTTTAATAACATCAGGAAAGTCTAGACTATTGAAGAAGTTTTGAATTAGTGTCGATTATTTAGCAGTAATTCCATGAACTTCAGGAAAATGACGCCATTTTGGGAAAATATTACAAGATCCAAAATGGCCGAACTTTTTGTAAAAATGTGAATGATTGCCCATAGCACACAATTATGCAAAGTTTCATGCGAATTGGATAAGGTCGAGTTTTTCCGATTCGTTATTTGGCGTGGAGAGCTGCTCAATGATCTTCCCAGAGGTTCCCTCAAGTTTTGAAACTGCTCTGAAGCTTATGGCACTTCATTTAAAATGCTCCCACATTTTCCTAATGTTCATGAAACTTTCCCCTGAAGTTCTCGGATATTCCCTAACGTTTTCTGAACTTCTATGACGATTTGCATTCTATACGATTTACCTTAAACGTAATGCGATGTACATATGTCATTCTTATATGCGATGTTGACTTAAACCGAAGACAACAAATCAAGAAGACTGGCAACTTTGCCAGAATCCAAGCGACAGATACAATAGCGCTGCACTTGAGTGAAGGTGGAAGCAACGCATAGAAAAATGAGCAAATACACAAACCCTTCTTCTGAGGATGTAATCTTTGCTATCAAATTCGTTCGAAGCAGGAGCAAGGAGTCAGTATTTTTACTGGATTTTTGGATTACTGAAAAACTCGGTTAAAATTCAAATGACTGTTATTCGTAAAGATTGGATAAAATCGACAAATTTTATTTTTCATCATTACACGGAGCTAACAGAAGTAAGTCTGTAAATTTTCGTAACACATTTTCTCAACTTTCAATTTTTCACAGATTTTTTAATTTTACCGAAGAGTTCCGCAATTCAAAAACTCGGTCAAAATTACTGACTGGATAAGTGTGTACTGATGTATGGTTGGTGAAGAGGCTAGCATCTGGAGGGTATTCTCGGACTAGTGAATGCCACCCATCCCCACTTATAATTCAGTAATACACTATTTATTCATCTCTGTTTCATAGTTTTACAAAGTTTTACAAAAAGAAATGAGCGCACGAAATATCTCCGCAGCTATGTTCTCTTTCGGCGCAGGGGATGGGCGGTAATCGAAAGTTATGAATTTAGCTCAACATTTAGAATATCATTCCACCAAATTTTCAGGTGCGTAGTCTCCTGCAACAGCCGAACGTACGAACGAATAGGGTGACCATAGCGCATTTTAAGAAAACTGGCTGTTTTAAACCAATAATTACGAAGAAACCATAAAGCCTATAAGGTTAATACCAAAGGCACAAATCTAGAGAACGGCATGGAGAATGTTTTGTAGAACAACTAAATTAACAATAATGAAAATTTTAAACTTAAAAACACTAAGATGTATGAAATTTCACCAGTTTTTTTTTGTTACTTTCAACATACTTTTCAATTTTAATGTATGGTAATTAACTTTAATCGAGTTTTTTTCTAAAGAGCACTGATAGTTAAGACTTAAATCTTTCATTTGATATGTTGAAATTAGACAACCACATTAAGATTAAAAAAAATATAGCTAACCAAAGTTGGCAATAAAAGAAAACATAAAATGTTGAATAACTCACTTAGCAGTCACTGCTGTGTTGGTGTTAGATTATGTTAGATTATGCACTGAACACTTCCAGTGTGCATGTGTCAAAATTTGCTATTAACTTTGCCATAATATAGGGGAAATGCAGGTAATGTCGGTCTAAGTGTCCCTAATTTGGGCCCATACATAAATTCAGCAATCGACTAAATTTTCAATAGCAACCAAAAATATCCATTATTAACGTTCCAATAACGCGTTCATATAGATAAAATTGATAAACAGCAGATTTTTAGCGATGGGCCTAATCTTAGATCCATAGGCCAACAATAGAGACATTTCCCCCTAATCAATTTGTTTCAAAACACAACCGTGAATGCACCAAGTCTCGCCATGCCGATGCCTGTCCGAAGAACTAGGTACATCATTTCGCGCCGGACTGCGTACAATTATTTCGATCACCTAGCATGAAGAAATCAGGGCAATCGCTTCCATAGCAATACTCCGTTATCAAAATCGTTACACCGGTGACGGCACATTTCCTCCCAAACAAAGAACTGCTGACAGCGGTATCGTGACCGGACCGAGGTTTCCGGCCACGGCTACACAAACTAGCGATGCAGCTCCCACGGCTGCGGCTGCTTCTAATGCTGCTATTGCTGGTCCGTCTCCTACAACATTATTTTGACGAATTTTAGAGGAGACGGACCAGCAGCAGCAGTAGCATTGGAAGCAGCCGCAGTCGTGAGAGCTGCATAGCTAATTCGTGTAGCTGTGGCTATAGCAATACACTATTTAGGTTATGTCTTGACGGACGTTGGACTGTGCCTTAAATTTAGCTTTGATATGGTTTTAATGTTTTCTCCCTTCAATAAGTGGATGTTATCAAGATCGATCTTCCGCCGTGTAGTCTCGAATCGAATTGGAAAGGACATTACATGAGAGGGGGGGCTTTGTATGTGTAGTCTTGCTGACGAACATGGACTCCATCTTACATTGGACGAGTTTCCGAAGGTTCTCGTTACTCCACGCACCGTTCATCGTCTTGGACGAGGAGAAACACAGCTTCATAATGAACGGGAATTGTGTGCCTTTGTGATCGACCGCACTGTGGTTGCACTTAATGATGGCGTTCACCGCCAGGGCTACGCTCGGGAACTCGACCAATCCGAAGAAGGAACGTTCCGATTTCAGCGGAAACATTCACACTTGCGATGGATGGCAGTCCAGTGGAGAATCTTGCTCGGTGGCAGTAAGCGATTTTTGCTGTCCTGCGTCAACGAAAGGAAGCGATTGTTCTTGAAGGCGCTGTAGTCCTTGAAGCTGATCGAATTGTCCGGCAGGGTGTAGGGGTTGGTGGACTCTGACAAGTAGTTCTGCTTGGAAAATGCAATCTGAATTTTGCTACCATCATTTCCGATTGGAATGTTGTGCTGGATGCTGTGTTCGACTGGTTCGACTGCGATGGCGTCTCCCACTTTGCTCTTCAGGAACTTTATCTTGACGTTTCCGTACCGGCAGATCAGATTAGCTTAATGG